CTCACCTCACCTCACCTCACCTCACCTCACCTCACCTCACCTCACCTCACCTCACCTTACCTCACCTCACCCCATCCCATGGGTGGTTGGAGCGTGCTACTGTTAGGCCCTACTTCTTTTCTTTCCCTCTGTGTGGGTGGTTGATGGGTGGTTATGGTGTGGTTTGCTCCTTTTTTTCCCCTACCAAACTTCTGTCATCCTTTCCTCTCCTCCTTCTTTTCAGTACTTATATTATGGCTTATTTGTGCTGCTAGTGCTGTAAAAATCATACGTGGGTGGTTGGCGGGTGCTCTGGTGTGGTTTGCTTCTTCTTTCCTATCAAACATCTATCGTCCTTATTTCCCCTCTTTTTTATGTTTGTTACTCTCTTGTAACACCTCTAATCTTCTGGCGCTCATATGACCTTATTATGTTGCAAGTGCCGTAAAACACTTACTAAAACTAAAACATCTGTCATCCTTTCCTCTCCTCCTTCTTTTTAGCACTTATATGACTTTTTGACTTATTTGTGTTGCTAGTGCCGTATAAATCTTACTATAAATAACTACTTAACTGACCACCATGTTCCTATGTCCAGGGTCTGACCTACGAGGGTCTGCGGGACGAGATCCTGTGCCAGCTGGTGAACCAGACGTGGCAGAACCAGAACGTGGAGCGGGCCGACCGGGTGTGGCGTCTGCTGGCAAACTGCCTGTGCTGCTTCAACCCCAGCCCCACCCTGTTCAAATACTTATTGAAGTGAGCACACCACGGTCTTTGAGGAGAAATGTTCAAAACTTGCTTTTTTTTGTAATAGACGTGTTTTTTTTTTTTTTATTGAAGCGAACACGCTGCGTTTTTAAGAAACGTTCTTTAGTTGTTCTTTTTTATAACATTTAAAAAAAAATTGAAGTAGGCACTCCTCTGTCTTTGTGAAGAAATGTTCAAAAGTTGTTCTTTTTTGTTATAGACTTTTTTAAAATTTAAGTGAGCACACTGCGTTTTTAAGAAATGTTGAAAAGATGTTCTTTTTTATAACAGACTTTTCTTTCTCTTTTTTACTGAAGTGAGCACGCTTCTGTCTGTTTAAAGAAATGTTCTTAAGTTGTACTTTTTCTTTAATAGCCTTTTTTAAAAATTGAAGTGAGCACACTTCTGTCATTGAGAAGAAATGTGGAAAACTTGTTCTTTTTTATAATAGACTTTTTTAAAATTGAAGCGAGCGCACAGCGTTTTTAAGAAATGTTGAAAAGTTGTTCTTTTTTATAACATTTTTAAAAGTTGAAGTGAGCACACTTCTGTGTTTGTGAAGAAATGTTCAAAAGTTGTCCTTTTTATAATTTAAAAAAAAATTGAAGTGAGCACACCTCTGTCTTTGTGAAGAAATGCGGAACTTGTATTTATTTATATGTATTTATGTAAGCAATTGAAAAACAAATTTCCTCAAATTGTCAATGACATGGAAGTCATTAATTAATTAATTAATTAATCTATTTTTTTAAAAATTGATTGATTGATTGATTTGTTTGTTTGTTTTTATATTTATTTATTTATTTATTCTCTGTTGCTCCGTCAGATATGTCTCTGACGTTGGTCTGGACGGCTACAAGCTGGTGTGTCAACACAAGATCCTCCAGAGCGCCTTCATGGACCCACAACTCAGCCGTCGTTACCCGCCCACCTTCCTGGAGTGGCGGGGCCTGCAGAGGAAGGCGAACATGGCGCTGGAAGTCAAGTATCCTGATGGTAAGACTTGATGGTGATGATAGTGATAATAAAAATGATAATGATGATGATGATGATAATTATAAAGATAATTA